GGTTTCTGAAGCTGTAAATCTTTATGGGAGCAGAAAGCCTCATCTTTCTCCCACAGAACAGCTGGTAATTTCGAACTGCTGACCTTGCAGTTTGCAGCCCGATTTGTAACCATTACACTACCAGAGCTCCTTATCATGTACATAGTCACCCAGAATCTTTTCTCGTCAGTATTTGATTAGGAGTGTTCAGTGGTGATATTTTGTCTGTATTTATTGTTTTATGTACTATGGACTAGCAATACCCTATAATCATCTGTGACATTCTATTCTAGATATCCCAGTAGCAATTTGCAAAACATTAAGATTCTGTTTCTCTAGAGACACTTTTGGTACAATATCTCTATCAGTCAGTTTCTCCAGTGAGACAGAATCGTAGCAGATACACATGTGCACATACATACTAAGAAATTTATTTTAAGGAATTGACTCAGGTAAATAAAGGCTGGAAAGTCTGAAATTTGTTAGGCTGGCCACCAGCCTGGAAGCTCTGGAGTTGATGTTGCAGTTGAGGCAGGATTTCTTTGAAACTTTGGTTTTGCTCTCTAGACCTTCAATTATGTGGTGGAAGCCCACTCACCTTGACAGTAATCTCTTTTACTTAAAGTCAAGTGATTGTGGATGTTAACACCATGTACAGAATACCTTCATAGAAATACCTAGATAGTGTTTGATTAAATAGCTGAGCACTATATCTAACCAAGAGCCCTAGTGAGCACTAGGATAAAAACTGAATTGCTAACCAAGGACAATGGTTCAAACCCACCAGTCACTTCTTGGAAACCCTATACATGTCACTGTGAGTCGGAACTGACATGACAGCTGTTGACAACAACAGTAAATACCTAACCCTGTAGTCCAGGTAAGGAGCAGCTGGTGAGCTTGGACCACTGACATTGCAGTTCAAACGACTTTGCAGTCTGACACATTAGCCCACAGCGCCACACCATAGCAGTGTTTTTCAGCCTCTGCACTATTATTGACATTTTGGGCTAGATGATTCTTTGATGATGGGGGCTTTTACAATGTAGGATGTTTAACTTTCTCCCTTGTATTTAGCATAATGGTTACGAATTGGGCTGCTGAATCATGGTCAGCAGTTTGAAAGTACCAGCTGTTACTCAGGAGAAAGATGAGGCTTTCTGCTCCTGTAAAGATTTACAGCCTTGGAAACTCTGTATAGGGTCGCTATGAGTTGGAACCAACTCCATGGCACGTAACAACAACAACATATGCTAATTGACACCCCTGCCAAATAGTGACACACAACAAACATACAAAGTTGCCAGGAAACATTGCACAATGTACCCTTTGGGCAAAGTTGCCCTGGTTGAGATCCACTGTCCTAGAGATGAATACATTTTGGTGTAGGATGATAGAGGTGACTATGAAATAGTTGAAAATAGAGATTTGCAATTTTAAGTAAAGGATTAGAACTAAAGATTTGATTTAAAAGTCCTTGCTAAATAGGAATTTTTGCTTTCTAGGATGGGGAATGAAAAATACTATAGTAAGAAAAAAAAAAAAAAAGAGGACCCAGAATGGGGGAATAAAGTGAATGAATAAAAGCTAGGGATTGAGTCTTAAGAGTCATAGGATGGTGATTCAGTTGACATGAACTCTTGGATTTATTTTTAAATTATAAAAGTAAATATGTTTTCATTGTAAATAATTAGGAAATATTAAAGAAGTAGTAGAATTTGAATATGAGTGTTATCGGTTTTCACTGTTTTAATTTGTTATGTCCTATTGTCCCCAAATAAGGAGCTCTGGTAGTGTAGTGGTTATGAATCGGGCTGCGAACCTTAAGGTCAGCGGTTCGAAACTACCAGCCGCTCCGCGGGAGAAAGATGAGGCTTTCTACTCCTGTAAAGATTTACACCTCGGAAACCCTGTACAGGGTCACTATGGGTCGGAACCGACTCGACGGCACTTAACAACAATTGTCCCCAAATGCGCATTTCTTTTAGTTAGTATTTAATTAAATGGCAAAGGAAAAACGTAATTGTTGAAGAAAATGATTTGTTTTTTTAGGTTGCCGAGGAGCCCAAGTTGAGGAAATATGGAGTTTGGAACCAGAGAATTTTGAAAAATTAAAGTAAGTAATTTTAAAATGTCATAAATAATTACTTATATCTTAGCAAACTTAAAGGCTCATTAAGAAGCCCTAGTAGTGAAGTGGGTTATGTGTTGGACTGCTAACCACAAGGTCAGTAGTTCGAGTCTACCAGCCCCTCTGTGGAAGAAAAATGAGACTTTCAGCTCCCGTAAAGGAGCTCTGGTAGCGTAGTGGTTACGAATTGATCTGCGAACCTGAAGGTCAGCAGTTCGAAACTACCAGCCACTCCGTGGGAGAAAGATGAGGCTTTCTGCTCCCGTAAAGAATAACCGCCTTGGAAACCCTATCAGGGCCACTATGGGTACTGTGTAGTGATTATGAATTGGGCTGCGAATCTCAAGGTCAGCAGTTCGAAACGACCAGCTACTCAGCAGGAGAAAGATGAGGCTTTTTGCTCCCGTAAAGATTTACAGCCTCGGAAACCCTGTTAGGGATGCTATGGGTAGAAACCGACTGGAGGGTACTTAACAACAGCAACAAAAGATATACAGCCTTGGAAGTCCTATACAGGGTCACTGTCAGGATATATATATATATATGTATATATATATATATATATATATATATATACTCATTGACACATAGCAGCAGCATAGGCTCATCAGAATTGTCTGTTTTACTCTGAATTCAACATATTATCATCTCCTTTAAGTCTTTTTTCAAGTCTGTGAACTAGGTATTATTACCTGCATTTTACAATCAAGAACCTGAAGCTTTTAGAAAAATAATTTGTACGGAATTCAAACACAAGTTCCTATAATTATGGATCCACAAAATGCCAATTGGCTGGGTTTTTTAAAAATAAAATTCATAAAGATCAGTAGTGCTAGAACATAGAATTTATTTTAACATTAAAAACTATGAATAATAAATTAGTGTACAAAATATATTTAATAGATAATACATACTGATTTTGGATTTTTCTTTGTTAAGTGCCTTTGAATCAGTTCCAACTCACAGTGTCCTTGTGTAGGTTTACAAGGAGCAGCTGGTAGGTTTGAATTACTGACTTTGTGGTAAGCATTCTAGTGCTTATCCTACAGTGCCACACCAGGACTCTCTAATATATATTAATAGTAATGTAAAAATTGTTGTTGTTGTTATGTACTGTGGAGTCAGCTCGGACTCATAGTGACCCTGCACAGGGTTTCCAAGGTTGTAAATCTTTACGGGAGCAGAACGCCTCATCTTTCTCCTGTGGAACAGCTGGTAGTTTCAAACTGCTGACCCTGAGGTTGGCAGCCCGACTTGTAACCACTCTGCTAATTGCGTACACATTATTTTGGGGAGCATGGTGACTCCATAGGATAAACACTGAATTTTGAACCACAAAGTTAGCAGTTTGAGCCCACCAGCTCTGCTCTACAGGAGAAAGTTTAGGCTTTCTGCTCTTGCAAAAAGATTTAAAGCCTCTGAAACCCTCTGAAACCTTATATAGGGTTGTAATGAGTTGGAATCGACTCTAAGGCACTTGATAACATAAATGGTAATATCCATCTTTAAAATTTTTATCATATTTAGTACTTAATTTACTTCATTTGCCATTATGGTTGTTAAGTGCTGTCAAGTCGGTTTCGACTTGTATAGACCCTAATAAGATTTCCAAGGAGTGGCTGGTGGGTTTGAATCACCAACCTTGAGGTTCAAACCGAACTTGCGCTCCATTGTTTATTATACAGTGCCACACCAGGACTCCTCATTTGCCATTATTTGTATTAAATATTTAAAGTATAGAGAATGTGTCATTATAGAAACAGGGTGTGGTGTCATTAATTCGTGTTTTATTTTGTAGGCCAGTTCATGGGTTAATTTTTCTTTTCAAGTGGCAGCCAGGAGAAGAACCAGCAGGCTCTGTGGTTCAGGACTCCAGACTTGACACGATTTTTTTTGCCAAGCAGGTATGGTCCCCGGATACTCTGAAAAGTCTCAAAAACAACCTGTGTTTATGTATGACTTTATTTTACCTATGTACCTCCAGTGTAGCAGTTCTCACACTTGATCTCAGACCTCTTTATACTTTTAAAACTGATTTAGATCCTCAACAAGCTTTTGTTTCTGTGGATTCTATCCATTGTTTTTGTTTCTGTGGTAAATATCCATTGCTGTTTACCATTTTATACATTAAAAGTGAGAAATTAAAAAAAAAAAAAGTTTATGAATTCATTTAAAAAGAACAACAGTAACATGATATATATCATGTTAACATGATATGTTTTTATGGAAAAAAGGCCTATTTATCAGAAAAAAATTTAGTCGGAAGAATGCATTGTTTTACATTTTTGCTAATTTATGTATGCTCTAATAGGATATAACTGGATTGTCACAGCTGCTTCTTCAGTCAGTTTTTTCTTATTCTGGTTGAAATATATGAAAAATATCCAGTATTACATATATAGTTGGGAAAGAGAGAAACATTTTAATATCTTTTTCAGAGAAGTGTGAATATATATTTTCACACCATAAAAACTCTTTAAGTATTGCTTTATTTAAAGGTTCATTGCAGTGTGAAGTCTGAAAACATCTGACCTTTTTATATTTATATTAAAATTCTTTGGTTTATTTTGCCCTTTTAATTAATCTTTTATTCATGCATGATTTTGCTACATCATGCATCAGCCATTTGGAAAATTTACCAATTTATGCAGATCTACAGTTGTTGACACTTAATTATACAGTATCAACAAATCACCTTTGCTAATATTCACCACTTGTGCCATTAAGTATCAAGACACTTGTAAGTTCATGATGGTGGACCTAAATTTTACAAAAGTAATTTTCACCTGAAAGTTCAAATTTTTCCAATGGGAAAAAATACAGCCAGATGTTTTCCTTGAAATGACAGATTCATCTCACTTATTTTTAAGAAACTGTCTACCATGTACCCTAATCTGAATAGCCAGTTTTGTCTGATATCTTTTCAGGTAGAAATGGTGCTCCAGGAAAAAGGCAGTCAGCTTAGCCTACAATTCAAAACAGTTAAACAAATGCCTTTTTTAGAGATAACAATCATCTTGTTATGGGACAGAAGTGCTTTATTTGTGCTTTCCATTTCCTCCCACATAATACTAAAAGGTTGTGTGTGTACTGTAAGGTTGAATTTTAACAAAATTCAATTTAACAAAAATAAATCATTGTTTGATTAAAGACATTCTTAAGTGAAACTAGCTTTTACTGTTATTTTAAATACATATGTATGGCAGTGAAAAAGTTCATTGACACTGCCTAGATTTATGTTCAAATGCCATCGGTTCTTTCTGCAATTGTTTTTACACCATCAAAGCAAATGTTCAAACAGTGGAAAAGACAAAAACTTTCTGGAGTTAGGAGTCCTGGTGTGGCACTGTAGGATAAGTACTGTGGACTGCTAACTCTAAGGCTGGTGGTTCAAACGCACCAGTTACTCCTTGGAAACCGTTTGCAAGGTTGCTATGAGTTGGAACTGACTCAACAGCACTTAGCAACAATAACAAATACAGAGTTATTATGGAAACAATTAGCATAATCTGATTGACTTTTAGAAAGGTGAAGAAAATGAAATTGCTACTTTTAAATACATCCTTTTTAGATCACACCTTTACTATTTTAGATAGTAACTAATTTTTCTTATTGTAGAGCTTTTCCTTTCTTTTAAATCCTTTTCCCTTAAAATCTTTGAATTAAGGTTTTTAAAGAAATCAGAACTGTCTTATTTTTGTTTTAAGATTTTGGAAAAGATGGTGTGCCATCAAATTGATTCTGACTCATAGGGTTTCTGGGGTTGTAAATCTTTATGGGAGCTGAAAGCCTCATCTTTCTCCCACAGAGCTCCTGGTGGACTCGAACTGCTAATCATATGATTAGCATCCCCCAAATTTGTTTTGTTTTCCTGATAGCAGAATTTACGCTTAGATATATTTAGTGAATATTTTTATAATGCCACTTTGTGCCTGTTAACCACTTTGACTCATTAATTTTTTTCAACAGGTATTTTTTGAGCACCTGTTTTTTGCTGGACATTGTTTTAGGTATTAAGGATTTAACAGTGAACAGGTCAAACACACCCCTTATTTAATAACATTTATAATGATGTTAGCACAATAATAGTAGCCAACATTTACCATGCCTGTTGTGTGCCAGATATTGTGCTTTTAGATGTATTATCTTATTTAATCCTTACAACAACCCAATGAGGTTGTTATCCTCATTTCACAGATGAAGAAATTAAGGCCTAGAAAAGTTAACTTATTTGCCTGAGGTCACACATCTAATACGTGGTGGATTCGGAACTTAAACCGAGGTCTAAAGCCCAGGTTTGTGAATCAATGTGCTATACTACTTCCCACATTTTCTATTCATATGCTAACACATTCTTAAGTACTTTTTAAAAAATTTTTACTAAAACAGGATTATTGTCCAAAGTGCTTTGCATCTTGTTTAGCTTAATTATAGAAATTTGCCATTGTTCCATTTCAGTACACATTAACAATTTTAGTTAACTTTAATGAAGGCATACTGTATACTTTTATTTATATGTATATGTATACTCTCTCTCTCTCTCTATATATATATATACACATATATATGTATATATATATCCTTTTTTATTATTTATTTGTAGTAACTATCCTCACAACAACCCTATGAGGTTTTATAGGTTCTTCATTATTTCAGATGTGGACACTGAGTCCCAGAGAAATTAAGCAACATGCCCATGTTATACAACTAGTCAATGGGAGAGTTGGAGTACAGACCCAGGCACCGTGGCTCTGAGGTCCACAGTTAATGATATCACCACACTGCCTCTGTTCAAAGTATTCTTGATGTAGATGTTCCATGGTTAATCTCTTAAAAATTTCTAATTTTAAATTATCCATTCATATATTGAACTATTTTTATATTTATGTGTCATTCTAGTATAAGAAATATAGTTGTAAAACTTCAGCTTTTGTGATTCTCAAGGTGTGAATAGGAGACACAGGATAATGGATAGATAATTTTTAAATTTCTTCAGGTGATTATTCTCCTTTTCAGAAAAGTATTCTTAATTTTTAAATGTGTATGTGGTTACGAATCGGGCTGTGAACCTTAAGGTTAGCGGTTCGAAACTACCAGCCGCTCCCCGGGAGAAAGATGAGGCTTTCTACTCCTGTAAAGATTTACACCCTCGGAAACCCCGTACAGGGTTGCTATGGGTCGGAACTGGCTCGAAGGCACTTAACAACAACAATAAGAATATATGCTCGCTATACAAAATTTAAGCATTGTAATTATATCATGTAGAAAATAAAAGTAACATAGCCTCTGCTCTATAATTTAAAATAAATTTTCTAGAGTTTTTTTTAAATATATGAGGGTATTTCAAAAAGTTCTTGGAAAATATCCATTTTCTTTTATTTCCTTTTATCCGTGAACTTTTTGAAGCTCACTTATGTGTGTGTGTCGAGTTTGTTCCATCTCATAGTGACCGCATGTATAGGATTTCCAAGGAGCAGCTGGTGAGTTTGAACCACTGACCTTGTGGTTCAAATTGTCTTTGCAGTCTAGAGTGCCATACCAGGACTCCATATGCATATGTACACACACACATACATATGTATGTACATGTATGTGGATTTCTGGTGTGACACTGTAGGATTAGCATTGGACTCTGAAACAGGTTAATGATTTAATCCTACTTGCTGCTCCTCAGAAACCCTATACAGGGTTGCTATGAGTCAGAACAAACTGTATAGCACTTAACAACACACACATACACATACACACTTTTCTCTTGGTAATTGCTTCTTTCATTGTATTCCATACTAAACTGTAAATCCAGTCAGAGATTTTACTTTTATATATAGTTTCTGGTACATAGTAAATATCCAACAAAGTAGGTGAATGTTGATCTTTGATAAAGTTGCAGTGAAAGAATTTGGAATTCTCTAATGATTTTTTGATTTATAGTAACCTAGATATTTTAAAGGAGCCCTGGTGGCTCTGTAGAATAAGCATTCAAATGATAACTGCAGGGTCAGAAGTTCAAACCCATTATCCACTCTGTGGGAGAAACCCTGTACATAGTTGCAGTGAATCAGAATTGATTAGATGACTATGAGTTTGGTTTTTAGATATTTTTAAAGTATAAAAATATACTGTATCAAAGGAAAAAAAATCGTGCTTGGATTTGAATTTGTGATTTCTGTAATCCCTTGATGTTTTTCTATTATTATATTTCATACCTATTTTATTATAATTTAATATTTTCTTTGCACTGTGTTTCTGTAGTTTCTATTAAGATGTCAGATTAGTGATTGCCCAGTAGTACTGTGTTTGTTTGCTTTTTAGTGCATTATGCTGTGTTTCTCTTGAACTAGCAGATCTTTAATTCCTCACTTTGTTAGTTTGTAGCATATACCTCTTATGAGCCTAGACTAGACATTTTATATATATTTTACAAATACATAACCTTTAGTCCTAGGCTACAGTGACCTCCAGTAATGATTCCTAAACTAGGATATCTGGACTTTGAGGAGTTGTTTTCAGAAATTAAAAAATGAAAAAGATGAAAATTATATTTATTTGTGATATGTAATATAAATTAAATGTACTGTTTGGGTACTTATGGATGATACTGTATTAATTCAGAGACGTGATTGCCTGTGTTATGCTGATTACATGCTATAATTATAGGAGTGTTTGTGATTGAGTAATAAAAAAATGAGGAAAGAAATTCTAATCCAAAACCAAAACCATTGCCATGGAGTAGTTTCTGACTCATAGCAACCCTGTATAGGGTTTCTGAAGCTGTAAAGTTTTATGGGATCAAAAAGGCTTATCTTTATCCTGCAGAACAGCTGAGTTTGAACTGCTGATCTTGCATTTAGCAATCCAGTGCTTAGCCTACAGGGCCAGAAATTATATCCTAGTAATTGCAATT